GTCCAGCTGGTCGGGACTGGGTGAGACGGGCCCGACACGCCCTGGAGCCCTCCCACAGTCCCTCCCTGGCCCTGACTGGCCCCGATCAGGACTGGGCGAGGCTGGCCAGACACACCCTGAAGCCAACCTCCCATGATCCCTCCCCAGCTGGCCAATCTCCTGCAGTCCCTCCCCAGCCTCTAAAATATTTCTTCTAAATAATTTCCTTTCAATGTGCATGAATCCATGCACCGGGCCTCTAGTTTATATATAATACAATCTGGCAGGAGTCTGGGAGCAGCTTAGGCAGGTAATTCTGGCTCAGCATCTCTCATGAGACTGCTGTCAAGAGCTCAGCCAGGGTGGAGTCATCCGAAGGCCTGGTTTGGCAGCAGTGTCTGCTTCCAGGCTCACTCACATGGCTGTTGGCTGAAGGCCTCAGTTCCTTATCATGTAGCCTCTCCTCAGGGTGTTCATAACATCGCAGCTGGCTTCCCTCCAAAGAATTGTTCCAAGAAAGAGAAAGAATAAGTAAAAAAGAAGTTGCTGTGTCTTTTGTCTAACCTCAGAAGTGACACACCATCCCTTCTAGCATCGTCCATTGGTCACACAAACCAGTCCTGGTGCAATGCAGAAGAAGATGACACAAGGGGTCAGGGTCCATCCAGAGCCCTTGAAGGCTGCCTTCTACTGTAGGGCAATAGGTGGTGGGTGTTCAATAAATGCTTGTTATAGTATTACCCCAAACAAGCCAGAGGTCAAAACCTCTACTTTTTAAAAAAAAAAAAATAGACTTTATTTTTAAAGCAGATTTGGGTTTACATCAAAATTAGTGGAGAGGAAGTTCCCATATACCCCACGCCCTCACACACGCACAGCCTCCCCCACTATCAGCATCTTTCAACACAGTGGTTACAATTTATGAACCTGCATTGACACGTCATTATCATCCAAAGTCCATCGTTTACATAAGGGTTCACTCATGGTGTCGTACATTCTATGGGTTTGGACAAATGTACAAGGACATGTCTGCATTATTAGAGTCTCATACAGAATAGCTTCACTGGACTAGACGTCCCCTGTCCTCCACCTGTTCATCCTTTCCTGCTCCCAGACCCTGGCAACCACTCTCTTATTACTGTCACCATAGTTTTGCCTTTTCCAGAATGTCATATAGCTGGACTCAAACACTATCTGGCCTTTTCAGATTGGCTTCTTTTACTTAGTATTAGGCATTTCGGGTTCCTCGATGTTTTGTCACAGCTTGATGGCTCATTCCTTTTACTTTTTTTTTTTTTTTTTAACAAATAAGTGAGTATGCTTTTTGCCCTGGTTTTACCGATGGTATCATTACGGAGTGTTTTTAATCTTCCACTCAGCTTAAATAATTTGAATGGTTTACCAGCTAACATGCTGCCTGCCATGTTAAATTAGAAAGTCAATACATGTGTTTTGGGCAGACTTAGTAGCTTGTCTTTCCCATACAGTCATATTCTCTAGCCATCTTGCCAGAACCCTTCATGTTCTGCTTGTCTAACGATTTGTGGAAAATCTCTATTTGAAACCCTAATTATGTTTTATTTAAAATGGATTTTTGTTTAATAGACAAAGTAATCGAGTCTTGCTAAAAGAAAGAAGCGCTCTCAGAGGAAGGTCTCAGTGGTGTGTGTTAGTTGACGAAGGGACCTGTCACCAGAGGGTGCTTTCTATTAAATTAAAGCCTCAGGTAGAGGGGAAGGGAAGTCCTGTGTTTTGATGGGAATGAAATGGAGCCAGGCCATTGCAGTCTGCCCCCCTCTGACAGTGAGCTGGCAACACATGCAGAGGACAAAGGCAAGGTTCAAGTAGCAGCACTGTCTGCGGTGTGATTTTCCTCTTCCTGTTCTGGCAGACTTTAAATAAAAGGGTGGTGTTCTAATGAGTGGGTATTAAAGAAAAAGAAGAGTCCTTGCCCTTGTGACTGATTGGATTAGGAAAATGTTTTCATTCCTAGAGGAATGAAGAGGGCCTTAGTTTTTGGTGAAAAATTTCAAGCTGAGTGGCGATTAGCACTAATCTGACACTTTACAAGCTGTGAATGTATATTGTTTGCACTTAACCCTTAACTGTATTAACATTCAGTTTACTGGGCTGACTGTCTCAAATTCAGGCAAATTAGAGTGCCTTTTGCCTCAGTAAAAATATTGCATGTAAAAAAATACATCAACTTTTTTTTTAGAAAGAGAAAATAACTTCTTATTATAATGAACCAGAAAAACAAGATTCTACTGTAACTGAAACAATTAACAGAATATAGTTTAACTTAATTAAACCTCCAAAGGAAATAAGAAGAGGTCAAAGAAAGCAAATGAGTGGAGAAGCCCACAGAGGTTGGGATAAGTATACGAATAATACATTTCAGCTTGGGTATCTTCCGACCCATCCCAGCAGTTCTCTGCCATCATTCTATTCATCATCTAAAGAGGAAGCTGGGCTTAGAGCAGGAGAGCAGGGCCAGCCTTCATGATAACTCATCCTATATAATAAAAGCCTAATATGCTAAGTGTCCTATTCGTTTGACCGGTCACTATGATGTGCACTGACCAACAGGGGATAGATGCTCTGACCAGTAGGTTAGCTTGCTGCTGGGGTCTGGCCGATGGGGACTGGGCGAGACAGCCTGGACACACCTTGGAGCCCTCCCATGGTCCCTTCCCCAGCCCCATGCACCAGAGGGGTCCCTTGGCCTGGCCTGCACTCTCACGATCTGGCAGCCCTGGGGGGATTTTGGAGAGCTGGTTTCAGCCTGATCCCACAGGCCTCCAGTATTTGTATAATATTCAATGCTATGCCCACCATTCTGACTCTCAAAGGAAGCAGACTTTAATATGTTGCAACCAGACAGCCAGCAACTCTCACAAGAAACAAACAAACAAAAAAAACAGAGAATGAAATGATACAAGAAGCCTACATATTTAGGAGCGAAATGGGTTATGGATCCTAGTGCATGAAAAGGGATGAAAAATTCTGGGAAAGAAGATTTAGGGAGAGTTAGAAAGTTGTATGCACTCTGTGCGAGTCTTAGTGGAAAATCAGGTTAACTTTTCAAAAACTGCCAATATTTAAGGGTTGATGAGAATTTGTATTGCTTGACAACTGGCTCCAAATTGTACCCAATGCTTTATGGAAACATTATGCGATCATTTTCTACATAGCTGTTTTAACAGCAGTGTTTTCAATAAAATGGGTTAAATGAATGAGAAAATGTTCCTCACCTAACAATACCTCTGGTGAGACAGGGCCCCAAATTAGTACCACCATTTCCCCTCATGGTCACCAAACCCCCTGAAGGCCACAGAATGCTAAGATGTAATAAGTAGTCCCCACATACCGCCCTTGCAAACCCAGAGTTACCAGGGAATTATAAACATCACACCACCTTTTAAAACATCTTCTGAATATCAATTATTTCAGCATCTGGTTGTCAACCTTTCTCTGCTCCACACCGTCCTCCGGGTGCTAACTTTGAGAATAAGCATAAGAGGGCGTGCATATTTTGAAAAACGCCCTCCAGTGCTTCTTACGTGCCCTGCTGGGGACCAAGGTGGCTGAGCATCCCTTCCTTCCCACTGTCAGTTGAAAGTTAGCGGGAGAAGGTTACTGAGCGTCCTGGCCTCTGCATGGCCGTCACAGAAGTGACTCAAAGGACAAGTCCAGCTGGAACATGACCGGAAGTCAGAGCACCTGGGTCTCTGTATACCGCTAATATTTGACATCCTCTATTTGTATTATTTAAGGGGTTGGACTAGATTCCCAAGGTCCAGTAGAGCGCTGATACGTTGCTGTTCCATTTGGGCCAGAAGCTGGTGAGCCTTGTGTAGTTTCACAGAATGAAGTTAGTATGTTTTCCTGTAAATCTAAACTCAAGGTTGCAAACCAGTGGTCAGATCCAGCATGCTAATGTGTTTGGTTTATACTCCCTAGCGTTTTATACTTTTTGTCTTATTTGTTGTTGTTTTAAATGAGCTGTTCACACTTAAAAAACAGGGTGATTTCTCTAAATGACTTCTGGCTTGTCTTGAAAAATCTGGCAGCAGCCAGCCTTCATTCTTACACCGAAACCTCTTCCAGACCAGGCATGCGCTGTCGGATTCCCCAGGCCCACCTGGCCTACTTGGCTCCTTTCCATCCCTTCCCGGCCACTGTCGAAGTTGAGGTTTGCAACCAACCCCTGTTTTAAATTCTCTCCATATTCTCCAGATCACATGGGACAATGATGTCACATAAAGGACACGTATTCCAGCTATTGGAGCTTTCTCTGCTGCTTAGTCTGGCTCTAGGAGGTGGGATTGTGTGGGCACGTGAGCAGTGGACATGCCTATCTGGCTGGTTCAAGAGCTCAGGGAGTGGCCCTATGATTTCACTTATATGTGGAATCTAAAGGAGAAAATAAGGGAACAAACCAAATGGAAACAGGCTCATAGATACAGAGCACTGACTGATGCTCACCGGAGAGGAGGGGCGTTGAAGGACTGGGTGAAAAAGGTGAAGGGATTAAGAAATACAAGTTGGTAGTTACAAAATAGGCATGGGGATATGAAGTGCAGCATAGGATATAGTCAATAATATTGTCATAACTATATATCGTGCCAAGTGGGAATATGAGGGGAGCATTATGTGAAGTGCATGATTGACCACTACGATGCACACCTGCAACTAATACAAAATAATATTGAATGTAGGCTGTAATGAAAAAAAACACCATTTTATAAGAACACAGCAATAATATTGAATGTAGGCTGTAATGAAAAAAAAAACACACCATTTTATAAGAGCACAGGGGGTGGGAGGAGAGCTAGAAGCTGAAAGCTTGTCATGGTTCTGCAAAGCTCCTCATGGTTACAGCTGCATTGCAGATGTGTGAGGCTTCTCCACGTCAACATCTGCGCGCACCACAGAGCGATGAGACCAAGAGAGAAAAAGCTTATGAGGTTTTCAAGTGTCTTTTTCCTCTTCCTCCTCTCCTTGCCCTGATTCTTTAGGTCCATGCCACAAGCGACGGACAGGTGGCTGCTGCACCCAGCTGGGCTCCCTGTCGGCCCTGAAGCACGCTGTCCTCGGGCTCTACCTGCTGGTCTTCCTGATTCTCGTGGGCATCTTCATCTTAGCCGGTAAGAGCACCCTTACTGTCCTGGCCTTTAAGGATGTGGAAGGAGCGATGTAGGAAGTGAGAGAGATAGGAACTGGAGAGCTGGAGCCTCCGCTCTTTGTTCCCACAGTTGTGAGCCTACACACTGCCCTTCTCACCGTGGCAACCGTGAAGGGGAAGCTGGCCCCACTGCTAGCCGCGTTGCCTGCTTCATTTGGGATGAGCTGTTGGCAGGGGCTGCGTGAGCTTGGGAAAGCTCTGAGCCCAGGAACAGAGACCTGGTTGCTCCGAGCGTCTTCTGACTTCCCCTGCATCGTCGTGTGACATTGTGCCTTATACCGGGCCTCTCTGGGCTCTGGACTGTGGTTCGCACAGGACAGGCTGGGCCCCTTGTCCTGGGTGTGATGAACAGTCATGAGAGACTTTGCTGTTGAGCCTACTCAGGGTCATGGTCAGCCTGCTGCCCTTTTGCTATTCATGGGGGTGGGATGGGTTTGCCCCCATTCAGTTGGACTCTTCTCCCAGTTCCTGTCTGCGGGACAGGCTGGTGGTGATGGGCTGAAGTCTGGAGCACATTCTCTAGTCAGGAAGGAGCAGAGCATGGACGTAGGAAGGGATCGGATGGAGGACCCCATACTTTGAGTAGCCCAGTTCACCACCCATTGTCATTCCACCGTGATGGAGACAGTGAAGGAATATAGGCTGACTCCCACCCAAGGGGGAGGATGCTCAGTGCCCACCTTTCTCAATGGAAATAGATCAGGCTTGACCAAGTCAGTCACGGGGTCAGTTTATTTCTATCTCTCTCATCCTACGTGAGTGCCTGCTTTGTGCCAGGACCCATGCTAGTGTTGCAGACACAGCTAAATAAGACCCAAGGGCTTCCTCTAAGGAGCTCCCAGTCCGAGGGATGAAGCAGGGACACACAGATAGAGCCCTGCCATAGGGACTATGATGGGGACTCTATGTTGACACAACACGTGCTGTGGTAATCCAGAGAAGGCACACACAGTGCGAGTGTGGGTGTGGCAGCGGGGGGATTGGCCAGAGCAAGGCTGCTGGCAGGCAGAGCTGGCTTGGAGTGCTGAGGGTGGGGTCCGCGGGTCAACTCTAGCGAAGGAATCTGGGGGTTAAGCCCTTGTAGGCGACCCTTTGCTAGCAATCCTGAAGCGGATGCTTACGGCCTCCCTGGTCTGATCTCACTTCGTGTCAAGTGGAAGTAGTCGCCTGGGCCCTGGGATGGGACGTTCAAGACCGCCTTCGCCCTCAGGTTCCCACACTCGGGCAAAGGGCTTCATTAGGGCTGGTGTCTGTCCCATCAAACGCTGGCCTGGAGGGCAGCCAACAGCCACAATGAGGGAAACTGGTGATTCATCTCAGGGATGATGTCCAGTCAGAGGATGATTGGAACATGTTCTTGGGCTGTTCCAGGGAGAGATTGGGATCTGGGTTTTGTGGGCTTAGCAGCCACAGCCATAGCAAATTTCCAGAAATTTTGGAAAGTGTTTCAGCCCAGCAGGAAATCTAGGCTACGGTATTACAAGTTATCTGGGGAACGGGAACTTTTAGGTGACGGAAGAGGGTCTAAAGGAGAGAGTCAGGCTGGTGGGGACCAAGGGGCAGGTCTCTGGATGCCCAAGGGCCTGGAAGGCCGCCATCTCCTGGAAAGAGAAGACTTGCAGGGGATGAAATTCTCTTCTGGTGTCTGAAGAGCTGCCATGTTGAAAAGAGCAGGTATAGTCGACGTGGCCTCTGAAGATAGAAAGGGACAAATGGGTGAGTTTTATAAAGAGACAGATTTCCATTCAAAATAGAGGAGAGTTTCAAACAAGTGTGCTGCCCACAGTGATGAAGAAGGACTTTTCTCCTGGCTTGGCGTTTGAGTGGGGTTTATGATGACATCCTGGACGTTTCAGAAAGGAGGGTGGAACATGGTTTCTCAATCCAATGAAAACATTGCCACGCTTCCTTGGTTGTTCCATGTGGAAGGCAAGGGAGGATTTAGATCTTTATCACCTTTGAACCTAAAGTTTCTGGGTACCAAATTGCCTGTGTGGAGTAAAAATTTTGGTTGGATTGGAACTGATCTGATGAAACAAAGCATCACACTTTATCTCTTGGCTCTATGGCATAGCCACGATTTTCCAGGTTCTTGTCTGGAAAATCATGTTGGCCTCTGGGGAAAAGGAGGGACTTAGGAATGCAGTGGAAAAGTCTGGGAGTTTTCAAGGAGGCCCTGCCTGACCTTAGTTTTTTCAGATTACCCTGACTGAAGGCCTCCAGTGATGCTTCCCTTCAGAAAATATCAAGATGATGGAGAGGTACATGGTTCAGAGTAAGCCAGACCCTGCCTGGGCTTCTGCAGGTGCCCGGCTGTGGCTGTTTCCCCATCTTGGGCAGGACATGCTTGCCAGTGCCCTGCTGAGGTGACCTGAATAGGATGTGCTATGCACTGAATTGTGTTGCCTCCAGCCCTCAATTTATATATTGAAACCCTACCCTCACGTGTGATAGTAGTTGGAGGTGGGGCCTTCGGGAGCAATTAGGTCATGAAGGTGGGTCAAGAGAGTAAGAGAGAGAGAGAGAGAGAGAGAGAGAGAGAGAGAGAGATCATCTGAGAAGACAGCGAGAAGGGGCCATCTGCAAGCCAGGAAGAGTGCCCTCAACAATAAACAAATCACACTCCTGGATCTTAGACTGCCCAGCCTCCACTATGACAAATAAATGTGTGTTGTTTAAGCCACCTAGTCTGTGGCATTTTGTTTTAGCAGCATCAGCTGACTCAGACAGGAGGAGTTCTGTTTGAACCACTCTTCGACTTCAAAACCTTCTCGTCAATAAAAAAGCTCCTACATCTTGCACCTGGATGACAGGATTATTCTGTGCAACCCAGTGCCATGCCCGACTATGATCAGTAATATCAGATTGCAGTACAAATGCTTGCTCTTACTGCTTCCCAATGTTATGAAATTATCATCTAATTACACAAAAATATTACTCTATAAAACCTTACATGGGACTTTTCTCAATTCACCTCTTTATCCCAGCATTTAAAATAAAAGGCAAATACTGCGCCTTGTGTTTAGGCATCAGCCCAGCTTCCCCTGTCAGAAGGTTAATCCAGCCATTGCACAAACTGTTTCAACAATTGAGCTTTCTACCCACCATCTAACTATTCATTCCTGACCATCATCCTCTTGGGGTCTTTTTCTGATATTTCCACACCATCACTGGGTTCTATGACCACAGCTGTCCATCATCTCCCAAGGAGGCCACGCCAGTCTATCATTCCTATCTCTTCAGCCCACTATTTATTACCTGGGCTGATGTTCTTGTTCTGTCCCAGATTCATCTCTGAACAGTAAATACAGAATAGGGGACCTAACTTCCCACACAAGAGAATTAAGATTCAATGACCATGAGGTTAGGAGGTGCTCAGGCCAGCATTTTAGGGAAGATGTTCTCTGATGGAGTTCAAGGGTTAGAGGAGGTTCAATCGTACCCAGGACTATTCTGGGACATCGTTGTGGTGACAAAGGATGGTCATCAGGAACCACCTCTTCCTCCCCTTTCTTGTCATTGAGGAACTTGACTTCCCAGGAGTGAAAATGAAACACTCCTGAAGGGGAAATGCAAACATCTGGGGGTCTAATTTGGTGGGAAGCTGAAGTATCACAGCCATGTAGGCTGCAGACCTGGACCTGGGAGAGTTCCTTGGAGAGAATCGGGCTCCCTCACATCTTCATTTAGTTCTTTCTTAACAGCAGCAGTTAGACGTCACTGTCAGCATCCTTAGAATGAGTTTCACTTGTGCATGAGGACTTAGTGGGCAAACGAGCCCGGTGTTTCAGTCCAAGGGCTGCTATAGCAAATTGCCAGAGACCGGGGGCTTAAACAGCACACACTTATTTCTCACAGTTCTGGAGGCTGAGGCGTCTGAGGTCAAGGCGCTGGCAGATTTGATGAGTGGTTTTGGGTCCCTTTCCTGGTTCATAAACAGCCACCTTCTCGATGTGCCATTGCGTGGTAGGAAGGGGAAGGGGTCTCTTTTATAAGGGCGCTAATCCCATAATGAAAGCTCCACCCTCATGACCTAATCATTTCCCAAAGTGCCCCCCCGCGACCCCCCCCCTCCCGCCCCCTCTTAATTCCATCACCTTGTGGGTTAGGATTTCAACATATGAAGTTGGGTGGGGTGCAAACATTGGGTCGATAGCATGAGAATAAAGAGAATCATGAGATAGTTGTGGTTCCTGCTCTGGGACTGTTTAAATTTATAAGCACACATATACATTAGGACCGTATGACGTCGCCAATGCTGCGGGCCAAATTGTGCAGAGGAGAGCCTGATTCCTGAGAGCTGGAGTGCTCTGGGTGGGCTCATCCTGGGGAGAGCTGAACACCAAGTGGTCCACATGCCTTTGAACTGAGCACCCCTGCTCTGGATCGCCTTGTTTCAGGCAGGTGTGTCCCTGACGCCACAACCAGAGCACAGTGTGCTCAGAGCCCATAGCCACGTGTACTCAGAGCGCTGATCTCATCCTGCATCTTGGAATTGCCATCACGGTGCCCTTGGCCTTTGTGGGGACACTGTCAGAAACAGGTCGTGAAATTCCACCATGGGCTGTCCCACGGGTGCTGGTGAGGACACTGTTCATTCCATCGCACATGTCGACTAAGAGGACCCTGGGAGAAGTTATTTTCTGTCTTGGAGGGCGTGCTTTCCTTGAGGAATTAGTTTGTTTGTGCCTTAAGGAGACTGTGAATCGGAGAGTCATTAACATTTGCGTTCAAGGAGGTCATTAATGCAAACTGGTAGTTCATTGTCATCCCATTGTAAGATGCTAAGATGCGTGACTTGGAAGGAAATTAACATGAAAACCTGGAGGCAGATCTGTGGTCCACCCATAGCAACTTATAGACTTTATGGAAAATTTCTTCGGTTTGTCTCATTCCTACCTCCTTTAGATTACCTCGCTTGCTCTCCCTTTATCTCATTCTCGTCTATTTTTCCTTTTGTGC